GTCAAAAAACCGAGTTATACACATGCTGTCATGGTCGGGTGAGGGGAAAAGGAGCGAGGACTCAATTGCAACAATTAAGGGTTTTATTAATAATAAAGTAAAAACAAAAGGCAAAACAAAACTACCCCGAGGGGGAAAACATTAACAAAACACACAAACTTAGCTGGACTGACAAGACAAGGCAAGACTGGAGCAGGAACACGGGGAGTGTAGACAACGAACTGGCAAAGGACTGAAAACATGAGGGGGATTATAAAGCAAAAAGTAAATTGACACACAGGTGAACACAATTAACTAATAATGGGTTAACAAGGAGGGTGGGACTAGACAATAGACGGGAGAGCGCATGACACAGAGAGACAATACAAGCCATGCGCTCACATAACACAACACTGAAGCACACGACAAAAGCACGTGACCACAATGTAAACACCGAGCCACGTGCTTTGACAAAAGAAGCAAGACACGAGCACACGATGAATGAAAACACTCACCGTGCGCTCACACACGCAGCGTGCATGCTTCATCCCAGCGCCGACCAAAACCGAAACCAACAAGACTGAGACGCTGGGAATGAAACACCATGCTGCTGACAGACGAAAACACAAACACGAGTACAAGAGCGCACGCGTTTGAGTGACGCAGAGCGCGCGCGAGGCCGCATCAAGCAGTAGCGCTCACACTCTGCGTACACCCACGACAGCGCGCACACACAGAGACAGAAACAGGACCAGACACAGGTAGTGTCAGAGATCTGCCACCAAAACAATAATTTACAAGACCAGAGTGGCAGAACCCTGACACATGCTGTATAACTCCAAATACACATGCTGTGCCCCATATGGTCTAAAACCTGACAGGTGGACAAATTTAAGCTTGTTTTTAATAAAACAAATATAAATATGCATATGCATAATAAAAAAAATACTGTTAATAATGATAACATTATACAAAAGCAAATTGCCATGAATAAACTGAAAAAGCCTCCCAAGATGAAGATTAAAAAATTGAAGATTATATTAATCTAAGCTAAAAAAAATAATAATCTTTGTACTATTTGAATCCTTTAATTCTTTTTCATTAGTGAAGGTATTTGCGTGTTGCTGTACATCCTGTGTGTATTAAGCAATGTTTAAGCGAGGCGCACAACTGACACGCTCTGCGCTGGACTATGGACCTGCTTTGATCTGGTCTATTGAACAGTCTATTATAGTTCCTCAAAATAGCATTGCGCCTTAACACACCTCCTTTTTTAGACTAGAACATCTATGGGCGCACATATGAGCGCAAATGCAGTTGCTATTTAAACAGCATGGCGCAAAACGTCTAAACAACTCTTGCGCCAGGCTTAAACTAGCAAACAACTATTGCGCCGGGTGTATGATAGGGTTCTATGAAGAGATATTATGCATATTATGAAAACATCAACCTGCTGCGTGACATATTGCCTACATTCTTTAAAACGATATTAAACTGTTTATAAGTAGATATCCTAAAATAAATTTCTACACTTAAAAAAAAAAAACACAATAGAAATAAAGATAAATAAAGAATATTTCAAATCACTGTAATATAAAATTCCAGTAGCTTTTTTAAAATGCATTAAGGTGTGCATTAATTGCCCTGGGGCTCATTTATAGTGTTAGTGAAGCTGCAGAACTCTACATCATATTTTTTATTTTTTATTTTTTTGATGTGGCAAATGTGTCCTCTGACAAATTATCTACATGCATACAAAACTACTAAAACCAACTGACATATACATACCAGGTCAGTTGTGGTGCTGTAATTCTTCCACAGAGATACACAAAAAACGGAGAAGACTTGAAGCATGTGGTTACCCTTGTTATCTATGATCATGCATTGCTCATCGTAGTTGCAAAGGAGCAGAAGATTTTGCTTTAGTAAAGCTATTAAGCTCGGCAGCATCTGCCGCATGAACACATGCATGTAGTACATACATGCATTGTTGCTGTTACATGATGTAGCAGACTGGATTGTTGCTAGATCAGATATGGTTATTTATTAAATTTACCATTTATTGTATTTTATTAACGTCTACCCACACCCCAATCCTAAACCCAACCATCACAGTAACGTAAAAACAGTTGGTGTACTGAGTATTGTTTGTTATCTATTAAATTACCCAATAAATAGTATTTTTTCATTGCCTACCCCCATCCTAAATCCAACCGTCACAGCACTGTAAAAATTTAAATTATTGATATACAGTGTCATAAAAAATGCTGCTATATTGATGTGCATATCGCACTTCCAGCTGGCCGCGTACCCGATCTAGATGTTACCAGCAGACTGACTAGGGTAGAAATATCAGCTATTTACATCACTATTTTACAAAAGATATGGATTGACGGGTCTCACAAAAAAGGGTTTGTTTTTGAAGTGGATTTTATATTCTTTAAAATGTGAAGTTAATCTATATATTCAAATTGTATGTGTATAATCTGCTCGTAGACTTGCATACCATTAGAACAATTATCATATCACAAGAAATGGATAAGTTGTATAGTTACCAGGTGTGTGTCAGGGGTTAACCTAGGTGGAATTTGGAGTCAGGGGTTAAACTAGGAGGGATCTTGTGTAATATATGGAGAACAAAGGAAAACAATTGTTGTCAAAGTGTATTTAAACAGGCCAGCACATTAGGGAGGCAGAATTTTTCAGACAGCGATGCTACTGGGGGTCTCCTGAAAGTTCTCCTTTGTTGTCGACAATAAAGAACTCTTCTGAAATCAAAACCATTTGACTTTGCTGATCATTGAAGAAAAGAAAAAAACCACCTCATTTTCAGATCTATCTACACTTTGATCTAATTTTCAAACAAAAACTAAAAACTAAAAAAAAAAAAAAATCTGCTGTTTACCCCTGTTTTTTTGTTTGTTTGTTTGTTTAAGCTTTCTTAGACTGTACCTGAAACAGTGTTCAGTCGGCAGAGAGACGACACACGTCGTGTTGCCAAAAGTTGTGGGAAAAGAATAAGAAATGTTTGGAGATACGGGTCGCCAGTGTTGCTTTCATAATGTGAAGGTTTTGTTTTCATTTTCTCTCTATAAGAGAGCTGCTGGACTCACGCATGGATCCGTAGAGGCGACGCGCAGCTGAAAAGCGTTTGTTTGGAATATTTTTTGCTCGAGAGCTTTTCTCATCAATGGTGAGATCCGGGTTTGCTGCTCATCTCTTTTAAAAAAGACGCAGCTCCAGTATGTGCTGATTATCCTGTCTACAGATTCGGTAAGTTTGTGCAATCAGCGCCCTTTCTTTGTTCATTCAGATGGCAAAGTTATAGTTCATATGGTCAGCAGTACTCTTTCAGTGTTTAAAGACAGACCTTAGTCAAAATTATTTCTAAGTTACTTAGTTTACAGTATGTTAATATCACTACAATATTGAAAGATCCGCTGTAAATGCTGCTCTCTGTGTGTAAACACGTGAACACTGTAAGCAAACTATTGCCGACCGTCGTGTTCAATTTTCGCCGCATTTTGTGACAGGATTGTCTACACACACACAGAGTTACAGAGAAATGGAGAGACTTTTTTCTCTTATACGACGTGCGGTATCAAACATCCCACCGTCAGTCTTTCTCCCCTGCATGTGCGTTTGTTTGTATTTGGTCAGAAGCGTGTGCCCAAATGGCAACTCCCATTTTTATTCAAACCCAGCGCATTTTTCCTCCCCCGACACTCCCCCCCCAAACAAAGCTAGACACACCCACTTTCCTGACTTTTTCCAAACTAGAGGTGTGAAAACATCCTGCTGAAACGGGGGGTTTCATGGCCCTTTAAAAATCCCAAAAAAAGAGTAGGGGTTTAACCCTGACATTCTGGACAAATTTGGCTACTGGCCTGTGTCCATCATGGCCTCCTAACCCTCCTCATATCGTAATTGGCTTCATCGTCTCCTCTCCACCAATCAGCTGGTGTGTGGTGTGCGGTCTGGCGCAAAACGGCTGCCGCTGCGTCATCAAGGTGGATGCTGCACACTGGTGGTGGATGAGGAGATTCCCCCAAAAATGAAAAATGTATAAAGCGCTTTGATTATTTAGAAAAGTGCTACATGTGAAAAAATTATTATTATTATTATTATTATTATTATTATTACTACATTTAATGATTTTCAATTCAGATGAGAAAACAGTAAAAACATAAGATTGCTGGTTTAACATGTTTATTTCAGCTGGTGTTGGGGATGCATTCAAAGGACAAAATAATTAAAATGTTTTAAATAATTTACAATGATCAACTTTAGTTTTTTTTTTTTTTTTTTTTTTAAGTGCAACCGTGTAAATGTACACAATTTTCAATGATCCACATTCAACCAGTCTTTTTTATATAAAGACATGATAGAAATAATAAAGGAAACTCTATAGGTGAAAAGGAATTACCCACACCATCATACAAGGATCCATAAACTATACAAGAAAATAATTTTGAAAATTCATACTTCAGTTTAAAATAAATATATAATGATTAAAACAAAACATTACAGTCATATAAACCTCAGATTCCCAATAAAATCAGTGATATGATTAGACTAGTTTATTTGACATTTACACATGTAAAAAAAGCTTTTATCCAAAGGCACTATAAATTACTCATCACAAAACTTGGATAGCAGAATAAGACCTCGTATTCTGGAACAAAAATATATCATAGAGCAGGCCCGGATTAAGAATTCACAGGCCCATTGGGCACAATGTCTCGTAGGCCCCCTACCTGGTCGCACCCCTTTTGTTAAATAAAAAAAATAAGAATAACCTAATATTTTTAAAATAAAACTAATCTATAATGTATTGCATGCATTTTTAAAATAAATTATATACAGTACTTTTTTTGTAGTTTACAGAGATTTAACTATTTTTTAAAGCATTTAAAGCACACTTTTAAAAAAATACTAATACAACTAGGGGAAAGTAATGGATTTTAATATATTGTTTAAGTTCATAGAAGCAGTCCTAAAATTTTTATTTAAAGGTAATTTTAATGTATAACTTGTACCAACTTGTAATGCATATGATTTGGATAAAACCTCTCCAATCCAGGTCTATGAATCTGAGTCCTCCATAATACACATACAGTAATGATTCCTACTTGTCTTCCTTATCATGAAGTGTAGGCAAAATCAGATATGTAGTGGGGGAAAAAAATGAGTTCATCAGACGCTGGATTCTAACCGGGTTCATGATTGCGTCAAAACAAGATGCCATGCACTTTACTACTTACGCCACTCCCGCTGCTATGTGTCGCGCTCATTAGTTATGTTTTCTCTGTCAATAAAACGGTGATGGGCAGGAATCACTCAACTAGCTTATTCCAATGAGGTGCGCTATTTGCATTTAGCCTAAATAGACACTCCAAAATTAGCATTTTTTTCCAGCCTCGCAGGGCCTCCGAGAGCGCACGGGCCCCTGGGCCTGTGCCCATAATGCACATTGGTTAATCCGGCCCCTTCATAGTTAATAAAGCTTGTTCTAACAACAGATAAAAACACCACAAACCCCAAACACTTTGAATGAACTGTTCACCGCACAAAATTAATCAGTTTTTTTTTTTGAAGTGCTTAAATAATATGTCAAATAATATGTGCTTTGAAATTTTTTTTTTTTTTGTGTAATCTTTTTTTGTTAAGTCAGATCAAGAGTTAAACTACACCAGCTCTTTTTTCCAAATGTGTCATTAAAATATTTACAAATGTACAAAACTGATCAGAGGTCAGATGGTAATTAGACATGGGTTCATGGAAGGTTTACTCTAATGACAAACCATTAAAAATTAAAGTCATTTGCATGAGGTACAACATAAAGCTTGATTTGATGAATTTCTGACTCTGTCAACAAGATTTGAGCTCAAAACCATTACAGTTTCTCAAAGATGCCAAATCCCCACAATGCTGTGCTTCAAAATTACCAATTACTACTGTAGTGTTATGCTGGGTTCACAACTAGTGTGAGATTAAGTGTCCATGCAGGTAAATTACATACAAAGATTATCACCTCTTCTGCAATAGTTAAAACAAAAACAACAACCAAAAAACATCTCACAACTAATCCTGAGCAAGATAAGCAATGCTTCACACTTGCTGTGATAAGACATTAATGCCTACTAAAGTTGATGTCAAATATTAAGTAAAATGTTACTTCACAATCCAATTATAAATGAAAACAGAACACATTCCTCATCTTACTTCTTCACTCTCAGTAGTTTGTGCAGATGAAGTTGAGTTGGTCAGTTTCAGGACGGCTGATCCAGGTCTGATTTCCTCCAGACTGAACTGCTCCAGATCTCACTGTGGGCTCACAGTCCTCCTCTGATGTGCCGTTCCCTGGAGCCCAGTACTGATAGCACACGGTCTCTCCACTCACCCAGAACCAGATGCCCAAAGCACAGGAGTGACGTAAACCCAACCACACCGCCTCAGTAGACGCCAGTTTAACCACGTTCATCACCTTATATTGCATCTCCACTGACTTAACCGAGACCAGATCCACATGATTCTGTCTGCAGTATCTCAGAGCTTCAGACCACGACAGATTCTGCTGGACCACAATCAGTTTATCTGGACACAAAACAAAGCAGAAACTAGAGAGAGACTGATCAACAACAACATGCAGAACAAACACTGTGGAGGAATTTGTCATGTCAGACATGTAGAGTCAACTTTAAGAGATCTGGAGCTGATGATGGATTGAGTGTGTTTGCAGGATCTGCTCACCTTCATGACACACAAAAGGAAGCTGCCATCTAACACTACACAAGTAGTCGCTCCATTGTCCCTGGTTGGACATTTCAACCACTCCACAGTGTTTATCATCTGGAGCTTTAGCTTTTTCAGCATTCCAGTATCTGAATGAGGAGTTGCTCTTATCTGACCACTGCCATGGGTCACTGAACAGACCGATCCAGACTTCAGATCCAAATTTATGACTGTCATTAATGAACTTCTCCAGCTGTTGACTCTCATTCTGGTTCCTCACACTGACCAGATCAATGTGATTCTGTCTGCAGTAACTCTGAGCATCTCTCCAGTTCATCGTCTGATTGACAAACACCAGTCCTCCGCTCACTTTAAGAAAATACATTTATTTTATCAGTTTATTCTTATTCAGCTTTGGATGTGAACAGAAGCAGTGGTGAAATGTTAAGAACAATTGTTTATCAATATTACTTTGGTTTCTATTTTGAGTCTTTAAACAATGACCTGTTCGACTACAATTCAGCATCTCTTTTTCTGTTCAGTTAACAGCTTTGTCAAAAATATATGCTACAACAATACAGCAGATTTGATTCAATGTAAATTTTATAGTGTCACATTTATAATTATATTTAAAAGATCTTTTGTTAAATAAAAATGTATTATTAAGTTTGTACTCACTTTTGCAGATGAAAGTCCAGGTGTTACTACATGATCCAACAAACCACTTTCCATTAGTCATAACAGTACAATTATTACTGCCGGCTGGTTGTCCAGATGCCCAGTTCACAAAGAACACAGGATCACCTGAAGACCAATGCCAATTACTGTCATTTGTACCCTGAAGACCAATCCAGACACCATCATTCACATTCACATTCACACTCTTGTTCAGCTGGATCATGTCATTCATGTTGTCAACAGTGGCCAGATCTGTGTATTTCTCTCTGCAGTATCTCTGAGCTTCAGCCCATTCCTTCTCCTCATTGATAAAGTGATACTGACGCTGAACACATTCAGATATGGAGCAGAGAGCTGTGAAAGAGACACTTTGCTTTAATGTTGTTCAGAACAGAGTCAAACCTAATGAAACTATAAACCATAAATAAAACTACAAACACACTCACCAATGAGGAGAAGAGGGAAATATTGAGTCTGAGCCATTTCTGAAGAAGAAACACATTGATAAACATAAAAAATCTGATACATTCTAGAGAAGAAAAATGTCAACAGAAACACAAATGCAGAGTACACAATAATGAAGAATATCTAAAGTGTAATATGTAGATGTGTGTTGTTCTTACTGCAGAGCTGGTGTGTTTCTGTCCTCCGTCTGATGTTTCTGTTTGCAGTTTCAGACTGTATGATTATTCTATATCTGCTCTAATCCTTCAGTAAACACGTCACATTATTTGTTTATTACACTAAACAAAAGGCTTATTCATTTTCTTCCTCATTCTGGTGTATTTGCATATTTCATTAACTGCATTTTTTTTCTCACTGTTGATCATTGATTCTGTATGTTTTTGAAGTGAGTTTATTTGAATGTGGTCGAGAGTCGAGTCTGCTGTAATATATCTCACAATGTGTGATTCATCTATATCTGCTCTCATCCATCTTTCAGCACAGTACATCTTTTGTCTTATATTTCAGTTCTCAATATCTATTCATCTTTTTTTTTTTGGATCCATTTGCACACTGGCATCTGTCATTCAGTATCAGTAAACCTAAATATTGACCAGACAATGTTATAAAAGTAAAAATTTGTCATTTGCAGTAATCAAAGATTTTATAAAAATAATTATCATTTTGTAAAAAAAAAAAAAATAGTAATAATAAAATAATAATAATATATCAGTGAATGTGGTCAGAAGCCAAAAGTGATACATGTGCTGACCAGGAGGATAGTGAGAGAGATAGAAAAAAAGAGCTTGCTTGACCTTTAAAAAAGCTCATCTGGACAAAGTAAAAGTCTTCTGCTCTTCTGTTTTATGGTCAGATGACAGAGTGATTGAATTGTTTTGCCACAATAATGTAGTTTGGAGTCATTTGGAGTGGGAGAAGCCTTCAACCTTTAGACCATCAACCCCACTGTCAAACATGGTGGTGGGAGTCTAATGTTTTAGAAGGTGTTTTTCAGCTGGTGGACCAGGAAATCTATTCACAGTAAATGGCACCATGAAAAAGGAGCAAACATGAAGATTTTCAACAACAACATCAGTCAGTCTGCAGAGAAACTTGACCTTGAGCACCAGGGGACATTTCAGACTGACAATGAGCCAAAATACACAGCAAAAGTGGTGAAGAAATGGTTATCATTATCAGACAAAAACAATAACATTTTTGCAGTGGCCCAGCCAGAGTCCTGACTTAAATCCAATTGAGAATCTGGAAGAGCTAAAGATCAGCATGATGGCAAAGAGAGCCTCCAACCTGAAAGAGCAATTATAGGAAGTGTTTATTTGCTGTAATAGGCAATAAAGGCTTTTCTATTGATTATTGAGAAGGGTATGCATCATTTTGGACATGCCACTTTTTGGTCAAATGTAAAAAAAAGCTGAGAACTTGTTTTATTTCAAAATGATGTGCATCATCTTATTATCTTTTGGAAGAAGTTTGTGTCAGTACCGGTTAAAAAATAACTTACTGGTTAAATAAAATTAACTTTAAATCAGATTTTGGGTGTGAATAATTTCAGTCTTGGCTGTATTTTAAGTCAATTAAGTGTTTTCTGATCTGGCATGCACATCAGCCTGTTGCTGGAACTCCCAAAACCAAAACATGAACCTTTAATAATCCATGATTGGGGTTCTTTAATATCACTGACAAGCTCTGTAACAATGTTTCCTATAACATGTGAGGAAATACGGATTACATTAAATTTATTAATAGATAAATTATTTTGTTTAAAAAGGTAATTGACTCCAAATATTTAAATATTTATTTAACCTATTTATCCATTTCTATCCAGTCTATTGTTAAATACCCCAGAAGAGCTCTACACACACTTCTCTGTTGCTGTTCATTAAATCTTTTCCTGACAGCCGAATGTCTCTTCTGAATTCATACAGTTCTGTTCTAATCATCTCCAATACATTCGTCTGGAAATGTCTGTTAAGTCTGAGGGTAAATTCCAGAAAGTAAAGTTAACTTACCCTCTGCTAAACTCTGAACTAGGTTCATTACAACTAAACCTGCTTAATCAAGCTGTATCAGTACCAATAGCACACTTGAGAGTAAGTTCAGGAACTCAGAGTTTGTGAACTGTGAATACAATCAACATTCTCAGCAAAACATCTAAACCAAGAGTCACCATGAAAACAGATGCCAACAATCAGCATGCCACATCTTTACTTTCTTATTCTCCTGTTTAATGGCGAGTTACATTCCTAAGGATTATCCCCCCCTATTTATAGTTGTAACATTTATTATTGATCTTAATTATTTTTCCATAATTTTGTTTTGGGTGTTTTCACCTTTAATAGACAGGTTAGCATAGATTACAACCAGAAAATGTGGTAAGCAGAGAGAGGGGAAGGATCAGCATAGGACCTCGAGCCAGTAATCAAACTCAGGTCACCGTAAACACCTCAGTGCCACGAGTCAGCACTCTAATAACTAGGATATTTGCACCAACTTCGATCTTAATTTTTTATAATGAAAATTATATTTTATAAGGTAATATATATATATATATATATAATATATATATATATATGTATATATATATATATATATATATATATATATATATATATATATATATATATATATATATATATATATATATATATATATATATATATATAATATATATATATAATAAAAATACATAAACTATAGATTTTATTCAAAGCATCCGGCTAAAAAACAAATAAAAATAATGCAGATCCACCAGGTTAGATAAGAAAGTAATAAATACCAGTACATATAAACATTATCTTATAATGGCATTTTATAGTGAACACACTATACATTAAGTACACTATATATTTATAAATAATCTATGAAACACACATGTATAAAACTCAGTTGTAGGCTTGGGAGGTAATAAGCCGCCTTTCCACTGCACACGACATTTAGACACGACTGTCGGAATACGCCCCCTTGTGGCTGGCGCACAGTATTTTCAGTGTTGTCGTGCACCACGGGGGAGAAGCTGATTCTCAAGCGTGTCCGAAATAAAGGACTGCAAAAGCAAGAGCCTTTATTCTGTGTGCGTTTACATGGTTTAATGGATGAATGAATACTAGAAACTCATAGACCGCTAAAATATTGAAGGGAATGTGGAGACAACATTGAAAATATATATTTTTATTACTTTCTTACTTACATATATGAATAGAAACGTTTTTCTTCAATATAGACATTTTATAATTTAAAAAAATAACCAAATAAACTTCTATTTCTCATCTCGCACGCATGGACCTGCTTGGACAACACTGGAATACATCATATCCGGTCGGCAGGTCGCATGCGGTCTAGTCGCAGGAGTTTAAATATTTCAACGGATCCGCAGCTCAATTCGGATCCGAATTTTCCGCATACGGAGATGATCGGAACTCAGCGCAGCTCCCGGACTGCTCCCCATTGGAAATGAATGACTTCCGGTCTGACGCTTGTCGTGTGCAGTGGAAAGGCGCTATACAGTAGATTGGTATACCGCAGGGTCTAAAAATAGCAACGTGTCAGTTTTAATACTGTTATACTGTCATAAAAACAATACACTTAAATAGGAGACAATTATTAAATATTATTTATTTAACGCCTACAAATGCGTATGCGTGATTGTCATCACAAGACAGTGTTGAGGAGAGAGAGGGAGAGGTGAGGTGGCGAGTGGCGCACCAAGTGACCTGCAGTTTGTCAGTATTTCCGGTTACAAGCCAACAGTTTGGTGACGCTGTCTGAGCCTTACGTCACAATTTTTTTATTATGCACGTTAATACAGGATACTGCTGTAAAATAGGGAGGAGGTTTGACGGTATCAAAATTTATATACCGTCAAAGCCTACTTAGTCTTCTCTGTTTTTGGAGCTGAAAGCTGAGTTTTTTTTGATAAAAAATATCCTAAAACTTATCCAAGTATGTCCCATAACCCGCTGTCTGGATTATCTGCTCAAGGTGTGTTTAATAAATGTGTGAACTCTGCAGGACACTGGTTGTCCTGTATGAGCAGGTATGAAAAACAGCACATTTACTTTTACACTAATAAGCCAAAAACTCACAAATTCAGCTTTAATATCTTGTAGTGTTGGGGTTATTTTAGAAAGCTGCTCTTGCAATACAGGTGAAATGTTAATGCTAATAATGACGATTTACAAGTAATACACTGCGAAAGGGGCTATTGTTCATTATATGTAATGTATTATTTTAGTTTTATTTCATATTTCTGATGTTTACTCCTGTTATTTTTGTTTGTTTGTTTATAAAGCATGAATACATTTGTATATGTGCACATTCTCATTATTCATTTGCTTATGTACACTGCAGGCTTTGACATTCTGGATGGACAATATTTACATACATAGTGTATCTGACGTAAAACTGATGAACAGTGGGCTATTGTTTAACTAGAGTCAGATATTGTTATTGCTCTGATTAAATTTAATTCAATGTCATTCATTTGGTGCAAAAATGTTCAAAAAGTAAATTACAAAACTATCTTTTTATAAAAGGCCGTCTGAAATGTGTTAAAATGTAAATTAACTGTTTGTTATTGTTGGAATATTTTCAATACTAAATGTAGAAATGTTTGTGCATGTCGATCAATTCCCTGTAAATTAATCTGCATAAAGACAGATTATCCTCAGTATTTAATATATTACATTATATCATTTAACTCTGATGAGAAAACACTAAAGAAGTAAAATTACTAGTTTTACATGTTTATTTAAGCTGGTGTTGGTGAAACATTTCAACACAAAATGATTGTAAATATTTTAATAACAAACTTTATTTTTAAAGAATAACCATTACTGAATTTCACTGAGGTACATAATGATCAACGATTCACATTAATATAAAGACATGATAGAAATAATAAAGACAACTCTATAGGTAAAAAAATTATTACCCATCAAGGCCATAACCATCATACAGAGTTAAACAAAACACAAGAAAATAAGAAAGATCATGTATAAATGTATAAAACTGATGATTGTAAAAAAATCTATCGATTATACGGACACAGGTTCACAGAAGCTTCACTCAGAAGTGATGAAGCACTGAAATTTATATTAATTCTGCATAATGTATGAAATATCAAAGCTTCACTCAATAAAATCTCATGACTGTCAGATTAATTTATAAAACCAACATTTGTGTTTCTCTATATTTTACCCAATTTAAGTTGACATAACTCAGCTTTAACAGTGCAGTTTCAGAAAGATTTCAAATCCCCACACAGCTGCTCTTCAGATATGCTCATCACTATAATAATGCATTAATGCCTGCTGATGTTGAAGATTAAATGTAAAATTTTTACTTCAGTGATAAATGAACACATTCCTCATCTTACTTCTTCACTCTCAGTAGTTTCTACAGATGAAGTTGAGTTGGTCAGTTTCAGGACGGCTGATCCAGGTCTGATTTCCTCCAGACTGAACTGCTCCAGATCTCACTGTGGGCTCACAGTCCTCCTCTGATGTGCCGTTCCCTGGAGCCCAGTTCTGATAGCACACGGTCTGTCCACTCACCCAGAACCAGATGCCCAAAGCACAGGAGTGACGTAAACCCAACCACACCGCCTCAGTAGACGCCAGTTTAACCATGATCATCACCTTATACTGCATCTCTACTGACTGAACCGAGACCAGATCCACATGATGCTGTCTGCAGTATCTCAGAGCTTCAGACCACGACAGATTCTGCTGGATCACAATCAGTTTATCTGGACACAAAACAAAGCAGAAACTAGAGAGAGACTGATCAACAACAACATGCAGAACAAACACTGTGGAGGAATTTGTCATGTCAGACATGTAGAGTCAACTTTAAGAGATCTGGAGCTGATGATGGATTGAGTGTGTTTGGAGGATCTGCTCACCTTCATGACATATAAAAGGAAACTGGTTATTGGTATTATTAGACATGTATATACTCCATTGTCCCTGGCTAAACTGTTCAACTGCTGCACGGTGTTCGTTAGTTTGACTAATAGGTTGACCAGTTTTCCAGTATCTGAATGAGGAGTTGCTCTGATCTGACCACTGCCATGGGTCACTGAACAGACCGATCCAGACTGAAGATCCAGATGTCTGACTGTCATTAATGAACTTCTCCAGCTGTTGATTCTCATTCTGGTTCCTCACACTGACCAGATCAATGTGATTCTGTCTGCAGTAACTCTGAGCATCTCTCCAGTTCATCGTCTGATTGACAAACACCAGTCCTCTGCTCACTTTAAGAAAATCAATTTATTTTTTTCAGTTTATTCTTATTCAGCTTTGTATGTGAACAGAAACAGCTGTGAGATGCTAAAAACAACTGTTTATTAATATTACTATGGTTACTATTTTTATTCTTTGAACTAAATGACAATTAACTTTCTCTTTTTTCTGTTTAGTTAAAAGTATATTTGTCAAAAATACCTGCCATAACAACACAGCAGATTTGACTTTTTTTTTTTTTTTTTTTTTTTTGGAGAATTTTGTTTTGCAATGTAATTTTTTTATGTCACATTTATTCTGTTTAAATAATCTTTTGTTAAATTAAAGTTTATTATTAATGTTTGTACTCACTGTTGTAGCAGATGAAAGTCCAGGTGGCAGTACATGCCCCAACAAACCACTTTCCATTAGTCATAACAGCACAATTATCACCGCTGTATGGTTGTCCAGATGCCCAGTTCAGAAAGAACACAGGATCACCTGAAGACCAATGCCATTTATAAACATTTGTACCCTGAAGACCAATCCAGGCAGCTCTATAATTTGCGTCCACACTCTTGTTCAGCTGGATCATGTCGTTCATGTTGTCAACAGTGGCCAGATCTGTGTATTTCTCTCTGCAGTAACTCTGAGCTTCAGTCCAGTTCTTGTTCTCATTTATAAAGTGATACTGACGCTGAACACATTCAGATATGGAGCAGAGAGCTGTGAAAGAGACACTTTGCTTTAATGCTTTTCAGAACAGAGTCAAACCTAATGAAACTATAAACCATAAATAAAACCACAAACACACTCACCAATGAGGAGAAGAGGGAAATATAGAGTCTGAGCCATTTCTGAGGAAAAAACACAGTAAGAAACATGTAAACAATCTGATCAATTTTGGAGTAAAACATTACAACAGTTAATAAAAAAAGAAAAAAATGCAGAGTACACAATAATGAAGAATATCAAGTGTAATATGAAGATGTGAGTTGTTTTTGCCTCAGAGCTGGTGTGTTTCTGTTCTCAGTCTGGTGTTTCTGTCTGCAGTGTGATTATCCTATACCTGCTCTCATCTATCATTCAACACTTTGCATAATTTGTTTATTACTCTAAACAAAATACGTCTCAATTTTTCTTCCTCATTCTGGTGTATTTGCATATTTCTTTCCTCTCTGTTGATCATTGCTTCTGTATGTTTTTGAAGTGAGTTTATTTGAATGCGTCCGAGAGTCCAGTCTACTGTAATATGTCTTACAATGTGTGATTCTCCTATATCTGCTCTCATCCATCTTTCAGGACATCAAGTATTTTGTTTATGACTGTAAAAGCCCCCGTTTGTATTTCAGTTCTGTGAATTTGTCCAAAAAATGTTTCTAATATATTTGCACATATTGACTAGATGTCATGATTACCAGCGATCGTACTTCATAAGATCGCTGGATTTCACTTACATGACCTTGGACTACAAATCCGACATTTCTGGACTACATTTTCATACATGCACTCCGCTCACAGACACGCATGCTTTCTCATCTAGACTGATTACACTTGCACCACCTGAGGACTGTCAAAGACTGATTACACACACTATTTAAGCAGCACACACACTCATTCACATTGCAGAGTCTTGATCATCTATATAGTGACATTACAACGCGTTTCCTAGTCTTGTTTGCCTGTTTTGACCTTAGCCTTGTTAGCCTTTTTGTCTTAGTCTGCCCCCTGCCTTACGACCTCTCGCCTGTTATTTGACTACGATTCTGGACTGCCTCTATACATCTGTTTGCACCTGTGTTGACCTTTGCTTGCCTGACCACTGAAAAAACCTGCACATGGATCCTACTTCTGTTGTCAGTGTCACTCCCCGTATTACACCAGATAAGCATACACTTGTAATTTGCAGCTATTAATGATTTTTTCAAGAGTTCACACTTAGCTGATGATTGATTATAAGCAAGTTTGGCATGCTGTCCCGGGAGAGAGCCCTGAGCTCGAAGGTTCATGGGCCGTGGGCTCCCTCTCGTTTGGAGGAAGAAAGGGGAGCCTCGAGCTCAGGTAGATCTCGACAACTCCCCCTTGATATTAGCTAAAGACTAAAAATTGAATGCTTTTAAAAGATATGCTGCATTATTATATTACCTGTATTGAAAATTTAGATTTATCAATTTACTTGTTGTGCATGTTTTTGGAATGTGGGAGGAAACCGAAGGACCCGGGAAAAACCCACGCAAGCACGGGAAGAACATGCAAACTACACACAGAAACGACCACCGGCCTGTTAAGGAACTAGAACTGGTTACGTTCTTGCTGTGAGGCGACAGTGCTAGTCACTGGGCCACCGTGCTGCCCTATGGAGGGAAAGGTGAAAAGGTAGGGGTGGAAGGGGGGATTCTTCAAATCGAAGATCACTGTAGTGAAAAAACCCTGGCTCTTTATAGTGGGTTAGGAATGGCCTGATTGGTGGATCAAGCATGCTAATGCAGAACCAGCTGTGTTCAATCATAATCGCGTGCTCCTCTCGAAATTAGTTTATGAATAAACTTCACTTAAATTACCTTGTGAAATAGGGAAAGCAATAATAATATTAATAATAATAGCCCCCCTGTATATTTCCCCCGCAATTTGTTTAACAGAAAGAAGTTTATTTCAGCACATTTCTAATCATACTAGTTTTAATAACTCATTTCTAATAACTGATTTATTTTATCTTTGCCATGATGACAGTAAATAATATTAGACTAGATATTCTTCAAGACACTTCTATACAGCTTTAAAGTGACATTTAAAGGCTTCACTAGGTTAATTAGGGTAAAGTTAGAGTAATTAGGCAAGTTATTAATATTGATCTTAAAATGGCTAAAAAAAACTGATTTTATTCCAAACAAAGTAAAACAAATAAGACTTTCTACAGCAGAAAAAATACTATAAAAAAAAAAAAACACTGAAAAAAAAATCTGTCCTCTTTTATTTATTTTCCTTTGGCTTAGTCTCTATTTCAGAGGTTGCCACAATGGAATGAATTGCTAATTATTTCATCATATGTTTTACACAGCGGATGAGCAAAATGAAAACAAATACATGAATAAAAAATAAACAAATTAAATAAATCACAGGAGGGGTTATAATTTTGACTTCAACTGTATATTTCAAGGCAGACACAGATTGTAATGATTGAATTGTTTCGCCACAATGATGTAGCCTTCATTTGGCATAAAAAAGGAGAAGCCTTCAACACTAAGAACAACAACCCCACTGTCAAACATGGTGGTGGGAGTCTAATGTTTTACGGGGTGTTTTTCAGCCAGTGGATAAAGTCATCTAATCACAGTAAATGGCACCATGAAAAAGGAGCAAACATGAAGATTTTCAACAACAACATCAGACAGTCTGCAGAAAATCTTGGCCTTGAGCACTAGTGGACATTTTAGACTGACAACGTGCCAAAGTACATAGCAAAAGTGGTGAAGAAATGGTTATAAGACAAAATTATTAAAGTGCACTTAGTTTACCCCTTTTTATGATTTAATATTAGTATTCTGGTTCTTCTAAGTGTGCCAGTTTAGGTTTAGTTTAAAACACAGTTCAGATGTTTTAATTATAATGTGTTTAAAAGTGTCTAGTTGGGGACGCGTACACAGTTCCAGTACACAGTACACAGTACACAGCTCAACAGTTACGGCTTCCTGCCCAACGTAACAAGGGGGCGGAGCCAAGAGCTCCCATGCTCTGTGTTTGCAACAGACAGACAGAGGGAAAGAAGTTATGCTAGGATGAGCATTCGTACATGTACGAGTCGGAAACAGACCAAGCAGAGAGTCCAAAATCATTTGTGTCTTTGTATAGTCTCGGTGTTAAAGTGCCGAGCTTGAACACTGAGACTAATAACCACACACTGAATTAACTTAAGCCGCACCACTGACCCAAAGCTCCGCCTTGTGCACCCCGACAGAAACCCACGCCACGCAGAGCCTCTGACCCGAAGCTCTGTTGTGTGCACCCCGACAGAAACCCATGCCCAGAACTCTAAAATGCAAGGTCCGCGCTACGCAAAAGGTACAAGCAATAATTCCGATTACAGCGATAATGTGGAGAATATTGATCTTGTGTTGAGCCCAATGAGACTTTCATCTAAAAATAGAGCACGGGTGTTCCTTTAATGATACCGCTTTGACTCACACGCTAAAAATGGCGGACGTGCAACAAGAAACTGAGGATATGATCGTGACGCGAGGCTGTCAATCAATATTGGTGGGCAGGGGAACCGCACTCCTACGTAAAGTTGCGGTCAGTCTTAAAACCGCTCCAATTGGTCCACCGTTTTATTGTTGTTAAATTGAAAAAAGGAGTGTGTGTGTTTATATCAGCCCAATATGACGGTCTATACACTATATATATATACACACATGTCTGTCCAAACAGCTTGAAAAGTAGATTTGTGCCCTTTAAAGTTTTTGCAGTGGCCCAGAGTGGTAGAAGAGCATCTGCGATGGCAGAGACCCTCCAACTTAAAAGAGCAATTATATTAAGTATTTGTTTGCTGTAATAGGCAATAAAGGCTTCGCTATTGATTATTGAGAAGGGTATGCATAATCTTGGACATGACACTTTTTGTTCAAATGTAAATAAAAGCTGAGATTTTTTTTTTTCACAATGATGTGCATCGCCTTATTATCTTTTGGGAGAAGTTTGTGTCAGTACCGGTTAAAAAAAACTTACTGGTAGAAAAAAATAACTTTAAGTCAGATTTTCGGTGTGAATAACTTCAGCTTTAGTTGTATTATAAGACAAGTAAGTGTTTTCTGATCTGGCATGCACATCAGCCTGTTGCTGGGAACTCCCAAAACCAAAGTATGAACCTTTTATAATGGATAATCGGGGTTTTTTTAATATCACTGACAAGCTCTGTAACAATGTTTCCTATAACATGTGAATAAATACAGATTACATTAAATATATTAATAGATCAATTATTTTTGTATAAAAAGGTAATTGACATTATTTAATAAAAAGTATGTTATTTAACTTATTTATTCACTTCTATCCAGTTTGTTGCAAAATACCCTGGTAGCTCTACACACCCTTCTCTGTTGCTGTTCATTAAACCTTTTCCTGACAGCCGAGTGTCTCTTCTGCATTCATACAGGGCTGCTCTAATCATCTCCATTACATTTGTCTGGAAATGTCTGTTAAGTCTGAGGGTAAATTCCAAAAAGCAAAGTTAACTTACCCTCTGCTAAACTCTGAACTCGGTTAATTAAAACAAAACCTGCTTAATCAAGCTGTATCAGTACCAATAGCACTCTCGGGAGTAAGTTCAGTAACTCAGAGTTTGTGAACCGTGAATACAATCAACATTCTCAGCAAAACATCTAAACCAAGAGTCACCATGAAATCAGATGCCAACAATCAGCATTCCACACCTTTACTTTCTTATTCTCCTGTTCAATGGCGAGTTACATTCCTAATGCTTATCGCCCCCTATTGGTAGCTCTAACATTTAGGGCTCTATTTTGGCGGTCCATGCGCAGAGTGCAAAACGCAGGGCACAAACGCTTTCAGGGCGTGTCAGGACGCGTTTTTGCTAATTTAAGGACGGGAAATCTGCCTTGCGCCGCGGCGCATGGTCTAAAAGGGTTGAGTTTGTTTTCTTAATGAGTTATTTTTGAGAATAAACCAATTAGAGTCTAATCTCCCATTCCCTTTAAGAGTCAGCTGCGTCGCGCCAAGAGCGCATTCGCTATTTACAGGACGCAAAGTAAGTCTAAGTGGAAAAAATGAGCATTTCACAAGCAAACAGTTCACAGTTTTTTTTTTTTTTAACAGAAAACTGTTAAACAGAGCATCTACTGCATGAGAATGAGAGATAATGGATCTACTTTTACATTCGCTCTTGGATAGGGAAACCTTTACGCACAGACATCAATTAGTCTATAAATAAATACTTTTGTTTGTTAAGCGCAAATATTCGTTTCAAAACTGTTTCTAAATTCAGTTCTAATTTCCAGCAAACGAATAAATGAATAATAATAGCAAAATGTGCTCAAAAACCTGAGTTATATCCTAAAACACATGCT